TGAGAAGAGTGAGGCTGCCTGGTTCCCTGAACACCAGACAGGGTTGCTAATTACATTTGCCCAGATGGCAAAGGGGGTCCCTCAGCCTACGGACTTAATTTCGGAAATTTACTTTCAGAGAGAAGCGAGAGAGAGGATTGCTTTCCAAATTGAAGAGAATTATGTTACAGGCATTTGATTGTGTGAGGAGACAGAATCACAGAACAGGAAGGAAATCCTCAGAAGTTATTTAATCCAATCTGAACTCCAGAAGACGTTCAAGACAGATGGGCAATCTCCTAATCTCCATGTTTCGTCTTCCTGTCTCTTTTTGAAGATAGTGAAAGGATTATTTTAAAAACATTATTTATTAGAAATACATTTATTTTAAGATATTTGGAAAATGCTGAAAGCTATAATGAAGAAAATAAAAGCCATCTATAACCTCATCACCCAGAGGTAATTACTATTTAAAGGTTTAACTCCTCATCATATTTTTTGGTAGAGAAACGTTAAATATACACTTTTGCATTGTATATATGATAAATGTTTTTAGATGGGAGCAGAGGCTGGCAAAATACGGCTTGGGGACCAAATCCAGTCCACATGCTATTGGCCTGTATTGCCTGTAAGCTAAGAATGGTTTCACATTTTTAAGTGATTGAAAAAAAAAGAATAATATTTCCTGATGTGAAAATTACATAAAATTCAAATTTCAGTTCCCGCAAATAAAGTTTTATTGGAACACAGTCATGTATACAGCCTACAGTAAGCTGTGATGTGCAACTGCACTCCAACCTGGGCAACAGAGCAAGACCCTGTCTCAAAAAAACAAAAAACAAATTATTGCTCATATAATTTTATGTATGGATTCAGCTTTCCCCCCCTCAATCTCTTTCTTTTAAACATTTTTTTTACAATGGTCCTTTAAATAATATTTATTATAAAAAATTAAAATACACCATAGAGAGTACAATACGACCATATGTCCATCGTCCAGATTGAATAATTACCAATATTTGGCCACATTTAGTTAATATTTTTCTTTGTTGAAATATTTTAAAGTAAATTACAGAGATTGTATGATTTCATCCCACTAGAGGAGTAATTTTTTTTAAAAAATTATAAAATGATTTGCCAGATATTCAGGCTCAAAAATATTATAAAACTAGTTAATGTTCATAATGAATATTGAAGCACATAAAAACACCACAGAATATATACTCAAAGTAAAAAGTAGAAATCCCTTTTTCACCTCTCTTTTCCTCTCCTCCCCTGCCAGTTTAGTGGATATCCTTTCAGTTATTTTCATGTGTGTATAGGAATGCATTTTTTATAACTTAGATTAACTGTTTAAAACATAATTTTGGAGTAAAGGAACAAGAGAAGAAACTCTTCTCTTGCAAGCATGTATGACAGCACTTCAGATGAGTGCCTTAACTGATGGAGAGTGAGGACTGGGACCTTCCTAAGTTAGTAGTTAGGGTAAGATATGTTTTTTTCTTCAAATGCCACCCATCACCAAGAAACTCACATGAGAAACCAGGACTGGGAAGTTGGTATTGGCGGGGACACTCCTTTTACTGCCCCTTGCCACCACCCCACTTAATTTCTCAGGTAACAGGTGGATACACATAGGAAATTCAAGAAATCCTGCATTAGGCTCCCTCAAATGAGAGTCACTGTATATAAAATCCACCTTATTACTTTCTGCACTTGTTATCTTAATAGCAAAACTGGAATTTAGAGAAAGTCTGCATGAATAATGTAATGAATTATTGTTTACTTACAACCCAGACTCACTAGTGACTGCTGTATTTATTTTCTCTCTAGGTAAATACTGATATTTATTAATCTTGTTGTTATTGCTGAAGAATTTGAGAATAAATTGTAGATATCATGACTCTTTACTCCTTGATCTTTCAGTGTGTAAGTGCAGTTTTGGGGAAGCTTCATTTTAATGTGTACAGAAGTCTGGGGCAAAGACCCTCGGGCTCTGCAGGATGTTACATTTCCATGTACAGTTCACTTGAGTGGTTTGTGGAGTGACCCGATCATTTTTGTATTATAAATTGACAAATTACACAGTCCCTCTAGTTGTTTCATTTTTATAAAAGAAAAATGTTTCTCTTAGAAAATCAATCTTGTAGGGCTTTTGTAGCCTTAGAATTGGAGTACATTTTCCCTATTCTAGTTTTTCTTTTTCTGAAATACATGTGTAGTTTTAAAAAATAATGGCTTTATTGAAATATTAGTCACCTAACATAAAATTCATCCTTTTAAAGTATATAATTCAGTGGGTTTTAAAAAGTATATTCACATGTTGAATTGTTATCACTACTTAATTATAGAACACTTTCATCAACCTCAGAAAGGTACCTATCAGCAGTGATTTTTCCTTCTCACCTCTCTCCAGTCTCTGGCAGTCACTAATTCTGTTTTGTGTCTCCACAGATTTACCTATTCTGAACATCTTGTAGAAATGGAATCATGTAATATGTAGCTTTTTGTGTGTGACTTCTTGCATTTAACACAATGTCTATAAGGTTATGTAGAGTGTATCAAAACTTTAATTAATATTCTTTTATATGGGTATTTACATTTTGTTTATATATTCATCAGTTGGTAGACATGCGCATTGTACAGTTTTAATTCTTATATTTAGATCTGTGAACTATGTTGTGTTAATCTTTGCATATGGTGTGAGGTAGGGGCATATGGTATTTTAAGAATAAAAATATTTCACAAAAAATATTTCAGAATAAAATGGTTTTAAGAATAAAAAGGTATTTTAAAAATAAGTTTATGATCATAATGAACTGACAGCTTTCAAAGTCCTAACATTTGTCGTTTCAAAATTTTTATGCCTGTAGCTAGACATTTAAATTGATCATCATTAGACTGAATTGGAAAAAGATATACAAAAACAAAGTAAGCTTTTTCCTTTTTGAAAAGATCTGAAAATGGAATTGTCAGGTAGCTGCTGCCTGTGTATTGTTCTGTTAATTGTATATGCTGTGTTTTTTTGTTCCCCTGCCCTGCCAATCTCATTTAGTCACAAGAAAGCTGAAAACAGTCATAAAGATCTAGGTGATAAATTTTAAGCAAACGGGCAATTCAAAAATAACAGGATCGTGAAATATCCAACTAAAAACATATTCAAAAATGGTCCATGAATGCCCAAATAACTTTTATGCACATTATATGAAGACAAATGGATTTTAAAGTTTCTGGTTCTCATTGTCAGAGGTCATAGACTTTAAAAAAATTTTTTGATAATTAAAGAATGTTTATTCTTTATGAGCAAGTGTTGATGGTGGTAGAGGGGTTGCACTGGTAACTCATGCAGAAGGAACCAGCTAGACAGTAAAACAAAAATCTGCAGAACACGCCAATTGATCAAACCTCACATCTTTAGGAGAGGCAAACTTGATTGCTGCGTTAAGAACCATAGATGGCGGGCCGGGCGCGGTCAAGCCTGTAATCCCAGCACTTTGGGAGGCCGAAGCGGGTGGATCACGAGGTCAAGAGATCGAGACCATCCTGGTCAACATGGTGAAACCCCGTCTCTACTAAAGGTGCAAAAAATTAGCTGGGCATGGGGGCACGTGCCTGTAATCCCAGCTACTCAGGAGGCTGAGGCAGGAGAATTGCCCGAACCCAGGAGGCGGAGGTTGTGGTGAGCCGAGATCACGCCATTGCACACCAGCCTGGGTAACAAGAGCGAAACTCCGTATCAAAAAAAAAAAAAAAAAAAAAAAGAAGCATAGATGTCAGTTAAGATTGGTAGTGGAGGGGCTTCCACAGCTTAGATTGTCCTCTGACATGTATTGTTTAGCCTATACATCTAATTGCCAGCACTGTACATTTAATTTCATGAGAAACCAAGTCCTCAGTTAAGGGAAGGAAATTGTTTTGACCAGATCTTGTGGCTCAGATTGGTCAGGTTGGCAAGACCTCAAAGTCTCCATAACCAAAGCTAGGGAGAGGTTCTATATGCTAGAAGGAGTAACTAGTCACTGCAGATGGTCTCAGCCTTAACCCTATGCAGGGAGCTCGACTCTAGTACCAAGAACCTGGCTTTTCAGACTTTACATAGGAATTCCACCAAACTTAAAAGATGTATAAACTGGACCTACATCGTCCAACTCAGTTAACTCAAAGGGCCTCCCCATAGAGACTAAAGCCCTTAAGGAATACTAGCAGTGTTTAAGTTTAGCTTTGTTAAAAAAATTAGCCATAACGGATTTCTCACTTTGTGACACTAGTCACCTTGAAGAACACCTCTAAATGCACGAATTAATTGAGCACTGGTTCAACCTTTAATTTCTGGCTGCTTGCTTTTTCTGCCCGTGTCTACCTTTAAGAGACGGGGTCTCAATCTGCCACCCAGGCTGGAGTGCAGCGGCATGATCATAGCTCACAGCAGCCTTAACTCCTGGGCTCAAGCAATCTTCCCATGTCAGCCTTCTGATTAGCTAGGACTACAGGTATGTACCACCAGGCTGGGCTAATTATTTTTTGTGCAGACAGGGTCTCACTATGTTGCCCAGGGTGATCTCGACTCCTGTCCTCAAGTGATCTTCTGCCTAGGTTTCCAAAGCATTGGGATTACAGGCAGTAAGCCACCATGCCCAGCCCCTGCCTACATTTTCACTATTCCACTCAACAAATAACATTGAGACTTCCTGGGTCTGGAAAGTGAAAAAAAAATTAAGTGATATGTAGAATTAAGCAAACATGTAAGTGATGTTTCAGAAGTAACATCCTTAAGTAGGCTACATCAATGCCCTGACTCAAATGAGGACAGACAACTGTTATTTAGTCTTTATTTCATAATCATAGACTTAACTCTGTGATCCAGCTAGGCATGGAAGGGAACAAGAAACACATGGAACCCAAAGGGCACTGCAGCAAGAGCACAAATATTCTAGGACACTGTGAGCAGGTGGGGCGGAGGGGCGCTTTCCTGAGAAGGAATGGTCTGGTGGTTAAGATAAAAAACACAAGTCCAACTTTAATTAGAGTTGTCCACAGTCAGCAGTGGTGATCTTATTGCTGGTCTTGCCGTTCCTGGACCCAAAGCGCTCCATAGCCTTCACAATATTCACGCCTTCTTTCACCTTGCCGAAGACCACGTGCTTGCCATCCAACAGCTCCATCTTGGTAGTACACGTGAAAAACTGGGAACTGTTTGTGTTAGGTTCAGCATTTGCCATGGACAAGACGCCAGGACCTGTATGCTTCAGGATGAAGTTCTCGTCATCAAATTTCTCTTGGTAGGTGGACTTGCCACCAGTGCCATGATGGCATGTGAAGTCACCACCCTGATACATAAAACTTGGAATAATTCTGTAAAAGCAGGAACCCTTAGAACCAAATCCTTTTTCTTCAGAGCTCAGAGCACGAACATTTTCTGCTGTCCTTGGAAACTTTTCTGCAAATAGGTTGAAGCAGACGTGGTCCAAGGGGTCGCCATCGATAGTAACGTTGAGCACTGCAGGGTTGACCGTGGCTGATGGTACCGGGACTCCTGGCGGCAGTAGCCTCTGCAAAGCTGGTCATAGAAATTTGAGAGTTTCTCCTGGATGTATTTTTTAGCTACTTATTTTTGTATTAAATGGTAAATTCTTGACTGTAGATACCTTGTCTTAATCCCCTTTGTTTTTATCATCTTCTCTCCCCAGGGCAGCTACGTTTTGCTTTTATGGATTGTGTACTACACAGCGTTAAAGGGTGCTTGGGGTTGAGCAGTGCACGTCTCTCTCACTGTACAGGGTAACCCTGACCATCACAATAAACTGTAGGCAGTAAGTCTTTTCATTTATTTGCTGAATTAAAATGAATTCCCATAAGTTCCCTCTAAAATCACTGGCAGATTTTTGGTGGGAAGAATGCATTGGAGACAGGTAGTAAACACTAGACCAGCTTAATATTTGCATTGAATGCCTCTGTTATATCTTTTAGCATACATTAGAATGGATTCCAGTCTTGTTCTAGTAAAACCCATGACTGAATGACCCAACGATGAGACTGCCGGCTGGTACTGCACACTCCGAGGCTGGCTTCATCCATGTTGCGATGTTTCCTAAGGAATGTCTTATATCTAGAGGCTGTATTGTTTTACACCTTCGTCCCTAGTTATCCACCTTGTGTGTACCTTGCATTCCTTCCTTTTCAGCATGCAGAATTGAACTTGACTTTGAAGTGAACAATACTGGGTTTTGAGTGATCCAGCAGCTGTTATACTTTGGTGAGAGTTTTCTTCTCTAACCAGGTCTTGTTTTCCGTTTCTCTCTCCATCACTTTCTCTTCTACCCCCACCTCTTCAGGCTTACTCTACCCAATTACCAGCCAGGAACAATTTCTGTCTGTCTCCTTTCCCAAAGAGATGCTTCCTTTATTCCACTGCTTAAATAAGTGAAACAAAGTTTCCCTTTTCCCTGAACCACCTGCTCAAAATACAAGCGGGAGACCAATTATAACCTAGGAGACAAATCCCCTTTGAACAGCTGATCCAGGGAATGGATTTGGAGGCTTATCTTCGGTCTGAATCACAGGGTCATGCCAGGGTCATCTCTAGAGCAAATTGTCCCCTCTGCTTCCACTGGGCTTACCCTGAAATGTGCACACTGGGTCTCTTTTCCCATGGATTATGAAGCTATGTGGTGAAGGCTACTCATTTGATGTACTAATCAGCATCTTGACATAACACATGGGAAGAGTTTAAAAGTTTGCCCTTGTGCTCCAAGTCTTCCTAGAGTACTTTCTAATTATGTGCTTGTGATCACAGACAAAAGCCTGTGACTGCAAATCTGAAAAAAGTGACTTCCAAAGCTAGTGCAGTGCTTCTCGGATTTTCACGTGTATACGCATCATCCAGGGATGTCATTTAAATGCAGGTTTTCATTGCCTAGGTTTGAAACAGGGCCTGAGATTCTGCATTCTAACAAGCTATCAGGTGAGGCTGATGCTGTGTGAGAGTCTGCTGATGGACAGTCAGCTGGGAAACTTTCCGTTTGAGGCATACTTAGTGAAACTTTGTATTCCTTAACTACTGCCCACGGGCCTTGTGCAATAGACACCTGTGGATAGTAGACGCACCTGACAGCGATAACTTGACTTCAGCATACCCTGAGAATGACCCTGCAGGGCAGATGCACCCAGATGTGTGTTTGGAGTTCCAAGCTAAGGAATCCAGAAGTGGCTGACCTAAAGATTCATTCCTTATCTATGAGGAATATCTGAGCCCCTCAGCCCTCCCAAGGAAGGCAGGCTGTACAGGAGATCAAAGCCCTGTGTTTTGGGTTAAATGAAGGTTGCCAGTTGGAGGTTGTTAGGAGGAAGGTGCTAAGTGAAAACGCTATTTAAACTGCACGCTTCCTACAAGCAGCTCTCCTGCCCTGCCCGCTGCCACTGGGAAGAGCAGTGCTCCTGTCCAGCCCACCGACCCTGGACCATCCTTGTGAGTAAATTCCCCTCAGTAAACCCCATGTCTGCTTTGCTGGCTCTGGGTCTCTTGTTCGGCCTCTTGAACCTGGTGCCGTCCCTACTAGAGTTGAGGGGGGCTGGCATGAGTGACCTCTTCCGTACAACTGCCCAAACTTCTCTGAGCATTCCTTATTTTTGCCCCGCTCTCCCTAGTGCAAATGTTTTATTGTTGTAGTCATCATATTGAATGATATTTATTTGTTTACGTGCCTGCCACCTAGACTTTGGGCATGTAGGGATAAGAGAGTCAACTCTCATTCATCTTTGGACTAAGGATACCTAGAACAGCATCTGTTACACACACATACACGGAGTAGGCACTCAACAAATATTGGGTAAAAGAAAAACTGATCAATTAAATTCATAAAATTAAAACCTTCTATCCATCCCAAACATCATAAACAGGATACGAAGGAAAATGACAAACTGAGAAAGATACTTGCAGTGTATTAAGATCTCTTGTGAGTTGTTACAGCTTGAGTTGGGTCCGTCAAAAGATATGTCACAGTCCTAACCCCTAGTACCTCACTCAGAATGGGAGCTTATTTGGAAATAGAGTCATTGCAGAATAATTAAACTGTGGAGTAGGGTGGGCTCTTAAGCCAATATGACTGGTGCCGTAAGAGGAGGGGACATGGATATACAGGGAGCACCTCACGTGTGGATGGAAGCAGAGATCTGACTGATGCAGTCACAAGTTATGGAACACCTGGGGGTGCCTGAAGCTGGAAGAGGCAAGGAAAGATCCTCCCTAGAGACCTCAGCAGGAGCATGGCACTGCTGATGCTCTGATTTGGTACTTCCAGGCTCTGGAACTGTGAGAAAATACATTTGTTTTTTCGTTTTGTTTTTGAGAAGGAGTCTTGCTCTGTTGCCAGGCTGGAGCGCAGTGGCACAATCTCGGCTCACTACAACCTCCACCTCCCAGGTTCAAGCGATTCTTCTGCCTCAGCTTCCCAAGTAGCTGGGACTACAGGTGCATGCCACTGTGCCCAGCAAATTTTTGTATTTTTAACAGAGACGGGGTTTCACTATGTTGGCCAGGATGGTCTCAATCTCTTGACTTTGTGATCCACTTGTCTCGGTCTCCCAAAGTGTGGGGATTACAGGTGTGACCCACCATGCCTGGCCATTTCTGTTGCTTTAAGCCACCTCGTTTGTGGTATTTTGTTACAGCAGCCTTAGGAAACTGACACGTAAGCAACCAGAAAAAGAATGATCTAGCAGCAGAGGGGGGAGAAAACCCAATCATAGGCAGTGCACCCAAAATGCAGATTGCTCATAAACAATGTTCGAGGGCTAGTAATCAAAGCAATGCAAAATAAAAAACAATATCAAAATGCTATTTTTATCTTACTATATTTATTTTAAAAAATACAGTGTTGTGCGTTTAGGATAGCAGGCCCTCTTCTGTGCTTGAGCCGCTATTAGCTGTTGATACAATCCCCAAATATATCTTAAGTTCTTCCGCTTCTCTCCATGTCTTTTGCCATTGCTTCCTTTTAAGATACCATTGTCTTGACTTTCTGGACAACAGAATTAATCTAAACGGTGTTGTTACTTAACTTGCTTAGAGCTGCCAGAGGGAGTCATTTAAAAAACATTAGTCAGGCCATGTGACTCCGCTGCTTCAAACCGTTCAGTGATAGCTTTCATTGCAATTAGTGTGGCACCTGCCAAGCTCCTTCTCTGTCACTGAACTCTGGACCCATGGCTTCTTTCCGTCCCTTCGTGGAGCTCTTCTTGTGGGGATGTGGGGATAGCACACAATGCTAGTCCCTCTCTCAGAATGCTTGTCCAGCCACTCTTCACCTTCTGCTCTTAGTTTCAATGTCCCAGTGGAACTTCCTTGGCATTTCTCCTCTGGCCCTGCCCAAGTGAGGTCACTGTATTCTATTTTCTCATGGTACTCTGTTGGTTTTGCTCATGATTTATTACTGTCATGAATATTGGGTATTTGCTTCTTGTCTCTCTCTCTCTATCTAGATTGTAAACTCTCTAAAGGCAAGGACTATATCTCTGTTGTCCCCCACCTGTAACTCAGACTTGGGTATAGAAGCAAACACATAATAGGCAATCAATGTGTATTTGCTGACTGAATAAATAGAGATTAATTTGGCAAAAGTGGTTAAAAGTCTTAGAGATGTGTATATCCTTTCAATCAGAAATCCCATTTCTAGGAATATATTTTAAGAAAATAATTAGGGATGTGTATCAAGACTAGTTACATTGCAACTTAAATAACAGTAAAATAAATTTTAGCACTGTATTGGGAACAAAAATAAATATCTAAAAATAACCAATATAATTATGATTTGTACATTCAGAGTAATATCATGTAGGTAATCAAAGTGGTGGTGTAGAAATATATTCATTGATGTATAGTTTCAGTGAGCATATATTTTTGTAAAAATAAAATCTATGTTTTTATATTCTCCAATGCATAAAATAATATTTAGAAAACTATATCCCAAAATATTAATGTTGGCTCCTTTTAAAATTTATTTAAACTTATTTAAAAATTTTTATTACATTTTTTTAAACATTCCATTAAAAGGATATTTCTTGCGTTATTAGAAGAATAAAAGTGATCAGATGTTTTATTGAGTGAATGAAATTACCTGGAATGTTTGGTCTGAATTTCGAACTTTCATTCCTACAAAAAAAAAATGACTGATATAATTAAAACGATACCTTCTAGCTTTCAGATGCTGTCGTTCACTTCCACACAAGTTTATGCTGTGAAGGAAGTCATCCCATCTGTAGTTAAATCCCAGTTCGTCACTGTTTTCCATGGCTGAAAGGTTATTTGTATTTTTTTTCTTGGATAAACTCCTTCATTTATGTTGGAGTTTTTTTCATCTTAGGTTTTGGGTAGGAATTGAATGTAGAAATCTGCAGTTTCTCCTGTCAAAGGAATTCCAATACTTTGGTAGGCATCCAAACAACACATCCTACCATATAGACCAAATATTGTGTCAAAAAATGGGCTCTGGATCAAATTTATGAAAACATATTGGATGAATTTTATCATTTGAAAAGTTTCAGAGATGAAATTATGTCTAATCTTAGATCTTCATTTCCTGAAATGTCTTTCCATCAGGAAGTCCTTAGGTTCTCAGGAGACCTTTGTTCTAACTTGGCAGAGGTGACCTGAGTTACTTCTTTATTTTCTCCTTGGACGTGGCTCCTTGGTTTTCATAGCCATATGCAAGCACAATATTGGTTTGCTTCCAATCTCCATATTTGACTGTTACAGTATTTTTCACCAGAAAGAACAAGTTTAAGGGAACACATTAGTTTGTGTATTTATTTATGTATGCGTGTGTGCGCTCACACACACACACACACACACACACATTTATATATCAATAACAAATCAACGACAATATAACATTGGGCAACTTTTAATCAATGTCCACAGATAATGAAGCTATATCCATTTTTAAAAGTGGTACACAATTTCTCTTTCCTTTCTCAGAGTCTGAAATGCTATTTCTTGAGGGAGTGGGGGAAGGAAGAGGGAATGATTTAGGAGAAATGAGGTAGGGTGTGGGAGTGAATGGGTAAGGAGAAAATTTTTA